TTAAAATGACAATGTGTTATTTAAACAACTCAGCTATCAACAAAAAACGATTTCCGGATTGATCGTTTGATAGCGGCCTGCGTGTAGCGCTGTCAACTAAAACCTAAAGTAGAGATTATTCCCACCTGCTACCTACAATATAAATTAGAACGTAAATTAATAAGCGCAGGTACTGTTCTCAATTCTTATTTCTACCCATCTGCTCCCTATAATATAGTAAACAATCACAATTCCAATATCAGACCTACCGAGTATCCTAGTAGTAGTAGAGTCGATATTGGACCAGTGAGGCGCAGGAGAATACTGAATTATGTAAACAAGAACGTGACCTCCACCAGAGGCCTGCTCTCCTGGTAGCGGCGCTGTATAATACAGGATGCAAATGCCTGTTTACCACGAGCCCCTGAACTTGAAGTTTGAACATGTTCATACATAAAACATGGGGCAATTGTCTTGAATAAAAAATGCTCATTTTGTAGATTGTTGCACAGGTTGATGGCAGTTAATAGACCTCTAGTAGCGTATAATGATTACTAGAATGGCCCCAATGAAATTTCATTGGTAACAACAAAGTTCATTAAGCTCCAATAAAGAGTACATGTAATTACAATGGTGCTTATTTGAAGCAGACTGGTATCGCCAATGTCGAGTGTTTAAAGAGACAATGGACGAGAGTGGAGTTTGAAGTTATCCCGGTGATCATTTCACATCTACCTTTACTGATTATGTTACATTAGTCTCTACTATTATAACGCCCGAATTCATTAACATTACTATGAGGTCTCACAGTGCACGTGGACGCACAGGTTGACACAGGAACCAATCATAGAGCTTTATTCAACGCTCGATTTGCTGCTTCACATAAGCACGGGCGTAAGTTTTGCATGAATAGCCACGAGATTTCAATAAATCTTTCTCATCAGTATGCGAATTCGATTCCCGTATTTATTTCAAAAGTAGTACCTTTCCGAATCTAAATTTATTTTCTGAAAAATGTGTGAAAATTCACGTATTTCATGGGTATCAAAAGGCAATTAGGTAAAACGTTATTCAATAAGTAATGCTGCTTTATATTTATCATTTACCTACAGCGTTTTTTAAAAGAGTTTAATTTCAATATTGAGCTAGCAAAGGCGTGCAAAAATTGAATGGTAGGTATTTACTTCAAGTTTTGCAATGATATGATCTCAGATCTTTCTATGATCTGAGGATATGATAAAAAATAACAATTGCAAATATTGATCAATCTTATTGAACCAAACCGTGTATTAGGTTTAGGTATCATCAATTAATTAGTTATCAAACCAGAAACACTTCTCTCAGCCTAATCCTTGGGATATAACATCGTAATCAGCCTACCAGCACGCGACCCCTGGGAAATTATGTATGAAACTTTAAGACGAATTTGACGTTGATCCACCTTGGCAGAATTTGCGAACATCATGAATAATGTGCGAATACGTTTATGAACTACCCACAACTATTTACCAACTATAGTTAATTCATAATAAGGGCAGTTATCGGCTTAGCGATTAGAATAGATATTTGACTAAATAATGTCGTAGTTATTTCAATAATTGTTTAAGCAATTTACAACCTATTCGAAATAGATGAAAATGATCCCTTTGCTATGAACATTATAATGTTATTATTTATTTAAAGCTTACATGAATAACACTGCATATAAGACGGACTTAATGCCAGTCGGCAATCTCCTCTAGTCAACCTGATAATAACGTAGGCGGTACAATAATATAATCATTTAGGAAATGTACTTTGTAGGTACAATAAAGATTAAATATACTTTCCTGAAACGTTTGCTCACTGAAACTCTACATAATTTCTCCATACAATGTAATATCANTAAATCCCAAACCGGTGGGTATAAAGACACAAATTTTGGCATGTAGGTTCCTTATTAGGGTCTAGGGGTGTTATCAGAAAGGATTTTTTAAGGGGGTGAAATGGGGGTCCAAAGTTTGTAGGGCGAAACAAAATTAGTTACACTATTTAATTCTAAACTTTACAGGATACATTCCTATCGATAAATGAATAAACACGTGTTTCAGGTTATTTCAGAATTCAACCCCTAAAAGGGGGAAATTGGGTAAAAATGTCTAAAAATCAACATGAGTATTTATTACTGATACATGGCATTGTCCGTTTTAAGTGACATAACATTTGTAACCTTGAAATGAATGGAAAAAAATCGATATTTTTTTACAGTTTTGGCAATAACCGTCAGTTTTATTCGTTAATATTCTAAAATCAATCAATAAAACAAGAACAAGTGTAATACCTACAGTATTGCCACTTTTATCAAGAGTGAAAACTTGACATTGCTATTGCATTTATTCAACTGTCTTTATTTTTAAAATTCGTGGCTTTTTATTGAACTACAGCCCCGTGTTTCACATAAAATATCATGCTTTTTATAAAATATCCCTTGAAAGTCGATAAATTGCTTTAATTTAGATTCTGTAAGCAATTATTTGACATGTCCTTTAAAACGGACAAAAACAATTTAAGGGTTAAGACGAATTTGACGTTGATCCACCTTGGCAGAATTTGCGAACATCATGAATAATGTGCGAATACGTTTATGAACTACCCACAACTAGGTATTTACCAACTATAGTTAATTTCATAATGAGGGCAGTTATCGGCTTAGCGATTAGAATAGATATTTTACTAAATATGTCGTAGTTATTTCAATAATTGTTTAACCCTAGATAGCTAACCTCCGTCGATTCGACGGGCATTGAAAAGAAATAACGTTGTAACTTTTTAATGCCACGTCCAAACGTTTTGTCCCTGCTAGCCAACTCAGTGGCCGGGGAGTCCTTTGCAGTGGTGTAGGCAGTGGACAGGTAAGTTTCATAGTTTTTGAGATATTTGATCTTTGCCCGTCGTTTCGACGGATGGTTAGCTTTACCGTAAGTAATTTAGTTCAAGTTCACGTATACATTTTTTTAAGAAATTTGAGATTTTTTTAGATTTTCATCTTGTTTTCATTAAAAAACGATAAAATAATAAATCTACTACTATAAGAAGTTACTAACGATGCCCTGGATGCTAGTCCTGCCCGTGTGACCGAAGACTTTCTGGTGGAAGATGATTTGCAAAGTAATCATAATTATTAACCATCAGATTATGAAAAAAGTTATGTAAGCCCACCACCAGACTTGTCTTCAGATGTGGAACGTGATTCGTCAATTAATTCAAATACCGTTCCCTCGGAAATTACAAAAATCAGCATTATATCATATTAAAATATGCAGTAAACATAAAGTTGATTTTTGTGTCACTTGCACTAAAAAGAAAAAAAAAATTTTATGATTTTATTACTTTTAATGTTTTTACGTACCATATTAAGTCAAAAAACCGATTGCTTTATTTAAAATTTTCATTGATATTGCATGTCAAAGTGGTTACTTACAAAATGTTCCAATTTCTTTAGAGGTCTACGAAAAAATATTTTAATTTAATAAATAAATAAATAAGGTGAATTTAAATAATGCACATTTATTCACAAACATATGAAGGAACCAAACTGTAAAAAAGACTTAGATTTTTTAAATTACTTCGTCCAAAAAATATAATTTTTTAGTACCCGTCGTTTCGACGGATGGTTAGCTTAAACAGGGTACGCCGGAAGGTTAGCTATCTAGGGTTAAGCAATTTACAACCTATTCGAAATAGATGAAAATGATCCCTTTGCTATGAACATTATAAGGTTATTATTTATTTAAAGCTTACATGAATAACACTGTATATAAGACGGACTTCAACCTGATTATAACGTAGGCGGTACAATAATATAATCATTTAGGAAATGTACTTTGTAGGTACAATAAAGATTAAATATACTTTCCTGAAACGTTTGCTCACTGAAACTCTACATAATTTCTCCATACAATTTAATATCAAATTAATGCTTTGTTAACTATTCTAAGTGTAACGTTTCATTTACCTACACAAACGAGAATACAATTACAAATATAAACAGAATATTAAAGAGGATTACATCTACTTATTATTATTCCCTTTGTATCAGTAATTTATGTTATCAGGCTTGATTTATCTAATTGGGAGCTATGTAGTTGTAACATATTAATAGGTAACTTACCAATTAATTTGGCATTATCGCAAATCCTCACATGAATAAGTAGATTATAATCATTACACTAGGTGGTTGTGAGATACCAAAATAATGATAATTATTTTTTTTGATGTGGCAGCAAAATAAATGATATACTAGCGGCCGCCCGCGACTTCGTGCGCGTGGACCCCGTTTTACCCCCTTAGGGGTTGAATTTTGCAAAATCCCGTCTTAGTGAGCACCTACGTTCTAAAAGGAACCCCCATGCAAAATTAGAGACTCCTAGCACTTGTACTTTCAGAGATTTCGTGATATGTGAGTGATTCGTCTATTTCTCCATGATTTCCAGCGGGAGCATCATTTTGCTCTTAAGTAGGTATGACTTTTGTCCGATTATTCGACGGTTCAACCTTGGCCTACCTGCTTTCATCAATCAGCTTCCAAATCCGAAGGAGAGCAATAAAATTAACTCAGCGGATTAACTGCTTAAAGAAACGAAGTAAATAAACTTTTGTGTCGGAAGGAAGTTAGAAATAAAGGGTACAGGCGTGATAAATTAATAACGCAAAAGTAGAGCTTCTTCTAGATACGACTAATTTATTATTCTTAGCAGAAGTTGTAGAACAACATCTCTAGAGCATTAATTGTTTATTTTTCATCATTATAGTTTGTCCTTCATAGAATAAAAAATGTAGGTACCTACTCGTATTCGCTAAATCCACAGAAAACTCTGCAGTTCTTCAAGCAAACGAAATACGATTACGGTTTCGTCGAAATTTTTAGACAAACGATAATTATATCATTTAATTCTGTTTATTAAATTTTCGACAGTTACAATTCGTTAATAAGGACTTAACTTTAGATAGTATGTGGTGTAAACTTAACCTATCTTTCACAGTGGTCCCAGTCACCAGTCAGCGTGGCTGGTGGTGCCACCGATTGCCCGCCGGAGGGGTTCCGCCGTGCCGCAAGGGGTTCCTTCTCAGCCATCCTGGATCTGCTCACAGCCACGGCTAATTTGACGGTGAGTTCCAAAAAAAATATTGATAGATTCGTAAATTCTTTGTAAAAAAAATCTATACTCTATTACTCCTCTCAGTAGCCAGTCAGCGTAAAGTCCGTAAGTAGAGTACTAATAGTCCGATAGCTTCTTCGCATCCGAGTAACTTTTGCGGTCATCAGAACTGCTCATAAGTTGTCAACAAACTAACTTGTCGTAAAAAAAGCGAATGCCAGACCAAAGGCTTCTTTGAGTCCTCTCGGATTTTCTTCGGATATTTCTCGATTAGCCTGGAAACGCTCACATTTAGCCCTGCCGGGCTAGAATGCGCGCCGTGATAAATTCTTAGCGATCATTTTAGTTCACAAACGTATGGGCTTATCACGTAAAATGGATTAAATAGCGCTTTATAGCTTATTGCGGCCTAACTTACACCTACTGGTTAAGTAGGTACTATTCTTATTAGTAAATAACAAAGTCGCAGTAATTCGATACTCCACAAGCTAAAATAAGCATGACGAACAGAAACTGTGTAACTTGCTTATTATTGTCATCAAAAATACATTTACAAGACAACAAAAATAATATGTACTAGCAAACTAATGTTTTCATTCTTCTAGTTTAATATTGGACTTACACTATAAGAAGTACACACGTGAAATATTTTATCAACCGCAACTCTACATTCAGGATCGGGTAACATAGTAGATTTTTAAGTGTTAAGTAGTAGAATGTAAGAATACCTGACTTACAAAGTTACCAAGCTTAAGCTTAGGCGCAGACCAGCGACTTTTAGTTGGTCGATAGTTGGGCCCAATTTTTTGTATGAAGAATCGGCCGATACCAAATCAGTGTAATGTGCGCACTTTCATACATCTCCATACTGATTAACAGCCCGGCCCAACTATCGGCCAACTAATAAATCTGTAGTCTGCGCCTAGGCTAAATATAGAATGTATTTTATTTGTGTGATTTACACTAAACCCAAACACGTGCTAAAAGTAAAAGTAAAAGGTAAAACATCCAACAATTTCCACCTCCCCAATATAAGGTCCANTCCCTTCAGCCCGGATTAAATATCTAAATACCCACATATGCCTTTGAAGTCCGCGAATAGGGTGGAATTATTTCTGAGACGTAAGTAATTTTCTTTTACCAAGAATTTCGATTGGGGACAGTTATGCCTTTAGGGCTGAATCGATAATGCTGGCTGGCTTCGAGAAAGGATAGTGGCTATTTGGCATAATTATTGCTGACATAAAAATAAATTATGACAAACTACGATTTGCTGAATATTAAACTGATACCTAAATATTGATTATGAGGGTTTTGGTTTCCAAACAAGTACCTGTCTAATACCCATTCCTAAGAGGGTTTTTTCTGTTATTATTATACTTACTAGCTTTCCGCCCGCGGCTTCGCCCGCGTGGAATTTTGTCTGTCACAGAAAAACTTTATCGCGCGCGTTCCTGTTACAAAAACCGGGATAAAAACTATCCTATGTCCTTTCCCGGGACTCAAACTAATCGGTTCAGTGGTTTAGGCGTGAAAGCAAGACAGGCAGACAGAGTTACTTTCGCATTTATAATATTAGGTGATTCGATATGGTTTGTAGGTGTCTTTCTGCCAAAATACTATAGACTGTTGTTTGTAGAGAGACCGCGGCATCTAATTTATTACTCATGTCGTTTTTCATAAAGTTTACAAAGGCTTTCGTGGTAATTATTCAAATTCCATTTTCAAAGAAAACAAAGCCTTCATTTTACGTTATTCAAGGTAAATCCCAACATAAACGATGGCTTTCAAAACAGAGCAGGATAAACAAAAATCCTGTTTAAAAATTTCTCATGAGCTGGCCGCAACATTACCAGATAAATGAAGGTAGGGTAGAGAGTAAAAACTACTTTCTACCTACTCTTAGATATAATAGTTAGTTTAAACTGCAAATAGCCTTTTGCGCCGGAACCGGAAACGGCGCCATATTAGATAATAAAACGGCCTCGTGCTCGTGCTATCCGGTCGTTTGCTATGAACCTATTTGCTAAGAACTTCCCTGGACCTACATTGTTGAAGGAAACAGCTAGCTCACTAGAAATAGGAAAACTACTGAAGTCAGAACCAATTTCAGATATATCGTTAATTGGCTTTCCTATATCATTAAATTTTTGTTTTAAATTCAAAATATGTAAGTACCTACTTACTTAATGAGTATGATCTTTTGACGTTAAATTAAATGATGTAGAGAGATATATATTCACAAACATTACTATGAGGTCTCACAGTGCGCGTGGACGTACAGGGTGACACATGAACCAATCACAGAGTTCTATTCAACGCTGTGCGTTCGATTTGCTGCTTCACTTAAGCAAGCATCGTTTGTGAATACGGACGTTAATTGGCAAAAGATTTGAAAGAGTATTTACTAACTCAATGTTTTTTCTAGAATTCCTTACTAATCTATGGTATGGCTGATATTGCTCTTGTGCTGTAAATGCACTAGTATAACTCAGGAAAACTACTAAATGGGCTCTCCGGTGCGGTAATTGGATAAAACTCAAGCCATTGTTAACAAATTGTTGTTAGAACTGGAATGGTTATGAACTTAGTTTCCCGGGATTGGTATAGTAACCATATTATGAGAATATTCATAGTATCTAGCTTCATGTAAGCAGAGCTTTTACGGAAAATATTAGGTGGACCGACGATCTGGTAAAGGTCGCGGGAAGAGCCTGGATGCGGGCAGCGCAGGACCGTGCATTGTGGAAAACCTTGGAGGAGGCCTTTGTCCAGCAGTGGACGTCATTTGGCTGAAACGAACGAACGATTAGGTAATATTTTGTGATTTTGCAGACTGACATAGGTTAAGCTGATCTTTAAAGCAACTATCTTACGTTTACCATTGGATCACAAAAGTGACTGAGTTTCTTCCGCCATCCACTTCTCAGCACCAGCCCATCATATGTTGTTCCAAAGTGGTGGTAGGGCAAGAAGCTACATTTGGGACGTGTAAAGTACCCTGGAATGGGCCTAAATACTGAATAAAAGATTTGATTTGATTTTAATACAATTAACAAAATATTACCTAACTAGCGGCCGCCCGCGACTTCGTACGCGTGGATCCCGTTTTGGGTTTGGATCCCCTTAGCGTGGAGTTTCGTAAAATCCTTTCTTAGCAGATGCCTACGTCATAACATCTACCTGCATGCCACAGCCCGATCCGTCCAGTGGTTTGGGCTGTGCGTTGATAGACCACTATGTCAGTCAGTCAGTCAGTCATCTTTGAGTTATATATTATTAGATATCTAGGCACAATTGACAATACGAAATCACCTAACAAATATCATCTCGTTGGCAACAACCAACGTCACAACTAGACAAACATCTGAAAGAGGGTCCTTACTTTTCCTCACAAAATATGCTTTAAAACTTCATCCTCTCTCGACCCTTGTAACATGTTTCATAAAAGCCACAAAACATCTAAAGCCGATGTTGTAAATTCGCTCATATTTTCATGACTTCGGGGATTAAGTAAGTAGGCATTTCCGAAAGAAAAACTTGGGAATGTAATGTTTTTCTCGCTAACAGAAAATAATAATGATTCAGAGAAATATTACTACAGGCTTGTTTCAGCCTGAGGCATGGTGGTAAATCTAGTAAACCATGCCACGAACATTGGCAAAATGTAGCTTTATTTCGCTTTATTTTAGCCTACCTAAATTATGTAAGTAACATTAAACATTTTGATTGATTAAGTAAGATCACTATGAAATTAATAACTAACATACTATTACGCTCGTATTCAAAAAAAGATACTTGCTTAAGTGAAGCAGCAAATCGAACGCACAGCGTTGAATAGAGCTCTGTGACTGGTTCGTGTGTCACCCTGTGCGTCCACGCGCACTGGGAGACCTCATAGTAATGTTTGTGAATACGGGCGGTAATGTATAAGGAAGGAGGGACTTCTAATGTTAATGACACTCAAACAAAAGAATATCACTGTAGATAATGGATGGTCCTATCGTCAATATACTTTAGTAGTTTAGTGTTATGTAGAGCGAAATTTGACCTCTCAAATCAATATTGTTTCTTTCAGGTCACTCACACAGAGGTTTTATTTCTACACATCTCTCTATCTATCGTTTACATTCGTTTATCTGGACAGTGGACACAGAGCACCGGCAGGCGATACGAGTTTTCCAGTTCTTGATTCGAAAAATAAAAAATAAAACAGTGAAGCCATGATAGCAGTGCCAGTTTCCGCGGCAAGGCGCTACCTGCACGAAATTATCCAATTTCCGGTAGCGCACCGTCCGGCAATTTTCCGGTGGCCGGCCATCCGGATCGGAGGCATTCCGGTTCGATATAACGAAGACAATCTCGTTATCCGATGATACGAACACCGGGTTTTATGACTGAATATTTCGTAAAGGATACTAAAAAGCAATATTTATTTTTACTCCTGTTTTTATTTACGATTTGTTATAAAATATTGAAATGCCAATCAGCGAAAACCATACTCTTTGGTAGTATCCAATACGTTACTAACAAGATAGACAAAAAGAGGGAGATTCATTATACTTACGTTACATAGTAAGGTGCCGTGTCGTGAAACGTAATTTACTAGAGAATACGTTGTTTTGGCTTTATTCGTCCCTCTCATTCAAGTTGTATTTGCTGAGTCTGTTGAATAGACCTAGTGGGGTATTCCACACACGTGCGCACAATTTACGGGCGTCGGGCAATTCCATATAAGTAATCGGTTCCACAGTCAAATGGGCTATGCGGTTTTATTTTAGCCCTAATGGATTTGAGATCAGATAATAACATAATATTTCCTAAAGCATAAAAGGATATTTCCTAAAGCGGGAGCTTTCGATCTCGGTTCCGCAACTATTCTAACTAGTCAACAATTAGGTTGACTGTCAATTGCCAGTTATGAAAACCATTTCCATCCACTCGCAATCACCGATTGATTGGCCTGTCGCTCATCGTAGTTAACAGAGTTAGCGCCGGACAGCCGATTAGTCAACTAGCGTAGTGGTGTGGCACGATTTCAGCTTTGTTGTGATTCGTGAGCTATGAGCTTACCTACTTTTACAGGTTTCGCCCGCCATTTCAGCTTTAAAATGACGTAATTCATGTGCGGTAGGTAGGCTTAACACGTTTATTGGCTGCTATTTCAGCTTTAAATAAATGTTGTTGCGTACGCTGTGGGTTGTGGGCTTACTTTTACTGCTACTTGCGGTTATTTTAATGTTAGTTGTAAAATAAAACTTAGTTTGCTGCACTATAAATACTAACAACATTTACGCTAATCTAATTAATTACCAGTTTACCGGGAATATAGGATAACTAATACTTCTTTGTCGTTCTCATCTTTACTTTCAGTTTCTGAACCCCGCGTGAGCAGGGCTTTTCAAAAATAGAGTTAGACTCATTTGAGTGTTCCCCTCCACGGAAATCTTTAGTAAAAGGCGAAAGATTTATACGTATTGAAGGGAAACCAGAGTGACGATGTTGGCGGTCGTCGGACTACTTAAGTTCTGGAAAAAATCAAATGATACCGCGAGTCAACTCAGCACAGCTCCATCTAGCGGCGCTGATGAGAAACACGACATGTGACTGCTTGTGCTTGTAATAGCAACGTAATGTAGACTCAACATTGTAGAGACCGCTTGGCTCTATCTTTTTGTTGAATTTTATTTTAATTTAAAAGTAGGTAAAGTCATTTTTGGGAATAATGTTTTCATTTTTTTTTAGTTGCATAAGATGGGTAACTGTTCAGTTGACACTATAAAATCCATTTTATAGATACCTACATAGAGCAAGCATTATTCCAATCCGTAAAGAATGGCAGTGAATCGTTAAAGTTAATAATTGGCTTGTGCAATGGCCCAATGGACGACCTGTTATCGCCGTATTTGATGAAGCCAGGATATTTTAAAACAAACTCAATTTACCGCCAAGCTGAGCTAATTGGCAACTCGGTGTCGGTTCTGCTGTAAGTTATTGAAAAATATTTAAACACCAGATTGGTATGGGAATTGGGAACACAAACATGTTAATTCGCATCATAAAACTCAATTATAAAGTCGAATTTTGGAAAAAAAGCACGCAGTAAGCGTGTCGTCGTGAATAGAGTATTCGGTAGTACCTACCTATGGTGTACCTACTTATTCTTTGCGAACTAGTCTAAGTCAATACTTAAGTAACTACACCCTTTTTTTACAAACGACTGTCCTCTCAGTGTCTGGAAAAGATCGCTTCCTCCTAGCGATAAGACCGCCTAAATTGTGCTGGTTCACCCTGTCTTTTCTTTTAGGTGTCAGTTTGGTGTATAGTGTAACATTAAAGTATTAAATTCTATAACTATCTATAATTTGCATAGGTATCTATCTACTTAGCTAGACTACGAGTATATCTACACCTACTTAGATACTTTTTACTATTTACTTATTTTAGGTTTTAATTATTAAAATCAGTGGCAGTAGTAAGTAATTAAAAGTGTCCTTGTAATAACCTGCCTATCTACAAAATAAAACTAATTCCAGTACTTACTATCTAAATGCCTGTTTCAGGAGCACTCGGACGGAGCGACCACGCCGCGCAACGACAAATCCGGAGCCCACTCGCCAGCCGCTAATGAAGGTAGTTACATAATCTATCCGGATTAAAGGTTATCAGATACTAACAGGGAGAAGTCATAATTTGTCATACCAGTATGACCACGAGGACATGGGGGTGGAGAGAGAAGTGATCCCTATGTCAATGGTATGACTTAGATAGCGCATAAGCACACAAAGCAAGTAGGTTCCTGCGGTCAAACAGTAGGGTACCTCTTAAAATACATAATCTACCTACAACATTGTGTTCCTCCTTTACTCCCTTTTAGCCTAAAAGTTAATGGTAAGAGAATTGTTCCGTCCGCTGTGATGCCTCTGATTTATGTTAGTCATTGTATCGGGGAGTATCAGAAATCTATCCAAAAATATAAATGGGGGCGGCTTTCCTCGGCGAAAAGTAATTAGAATGCTCAATCTTTGGCCGACAAGTCGTTTGGAATATTTTTAACATGGAAGAATTTTTTAACTATTTTTTTCTTGAAATCTCATCAATTCTGTAACATTTTATAAATAGAAACTTCTACCCTTCAGTTTTTTTACTAGAGGTAAGGTAAGTGCCCCCTACTTCGGTATATTAAGGCTCTTACGACTTTAACATTTTATTTAAAAATAACCAAGCATGATATCAGTATGAAAGCTTTTGTATGCTAAACTTTGGTCTTTTGACAGTAACTTAATACATAAATTATAGTTATATAGTTTGAACTTTTTTTAATATTAATTGTTCTGCGGACCTCTTGTTTGGATCCTGTTTCGTGATAAAATTTTGCTCTGTTTCTAAGTTCGTGAACTCATGTCCCCTATTTCGGGATAAGGTTTTATGCATCGAGTTAGGATATTTTAATAATGATTAAGGGTTTAATAAATTTAAAAACGATAATATAAATTTAGAATAAATGTATTGTGTGAAATTGACGATATTACTTACCTGAAATATACTCAACATCAAATAAACCGCACCTTCCGTGACGCGAACTTTAACGATTTTCTTCTGACACAATCATGGTGCCCCATCAATATTGGTGTTATTTGAAAGCCCAATAAATATCCTTAAAGAAAAACACATTTTATTTCTTAATAAATGATTAACATATACCATAAATGTGACTTGAAAAAATACCTCACTTTGGGCCCACCTATGGGATCAATTAGACCAATTTTTATGGTTATAAAACCAAATAATGATCTCACGTGTCCTCTTTAACAGATGGATAGCGATTAATCCCAACTTAACAGTTTTATAGCCATAAAAGTTGGCTCTAGCGTAACTACCTATTTTTTAAAGAAGTGACTCTGGGTCCTTCTAAAGACACATTTTTGGGGTAAAAACCTTTCCTTGAATGCAATGAAGGTTAGAACTAGGCTTTTAAATGGTGCCAATATTGGTGGGAAGTGGGGAAGCATACGTTTGAAAATGCTTGTCGCGGGAGGTGCGATTTATTTGATGTCGAGTGTATGTATGAGAAATAATGTGTGTCTAGCTACCCAAGTAGCAATTGGTATTAATGGCAAAATCTTACTTGTCTTAACTCTATCTAAATTTACACTTAAGCTAAAACCAAATAAACTTAGGATAGAGATTTCTCTCTTTAAGAGTTTATATTCTTCATCGAGCACTACTTAAGCAAATTAAGAATATCCAAAACCAAGTTAAGTATTCTTGAGATAATTTGGTCTTAAGTTATTCTTAGCTTAAGTTAAAAAAAATCTTATTTTACTAAATTATGATTTTTTGTATACTCACTTAATACTAAATAGTATAGATGAAGTATTATTTAAGTGTTGCAANGAAAGGATAGTGGCATTTAGCATAATTATTGCTGACATAAAAATAAATTATGACAAACTACGATTTGCTGAATATTAAACTGATACCTAAAGATTGTTTTGGTAAAGAGATTGGGCATTATTTTCCAAACAAGTACCTATCTAATACCCATTCTTAAGAGGGTTTTTTCTGTTATTATTATACTTACTAGCTTTCCGCCCGCGGCTTCGCCCGCGTGAAATTTTGTCTGTCACAGAAAAACTTTATCGCGCGCGTTCCTGTTTCAAAAACCGGGATAAAAACTATCCTATGTCCTTTCCCGGGACTCAAACTAATCGGTTCAGTGGTTTAGGCGTGAAAGCAAGACAGGCAGACAGAGTTACTTTCGCATTTATAATATTAGGTGATTCGATATGGTTTGTAGGTGTCTTTCTGCCAAAAAACTATAGACTGTTGTTTGTAGAGAGACCGCGGCATCTAATTAATTACTCATGTCGTTGTTCATAAAGTTTACAAAGGCTTTCGTGGTAATTATTCAAATTCCATTTTCAAAGAAAACAAAGCCTTCATTTTACGTAATTCAAGGTAAATCCCAACATAAACGATGGCCAATGGTAAATCCCAACATAAATTTTTCATGAGCTGGCCGCAACATTGCCAGAAGTGAAGGTAGGATAGACGGTAAAAACTACTTTCTACCTACTCTTCGATATTATAGTTAGTTTAAACTGCAAATAGCCTTTTGCGCCGGAACCGGAAACGACGCCATATTAGATAATAAAACGGCCTCGTGCTCGTGCTATCCGGTCGTCTGGTAGGTACCTATTTGCCAAGAACTTCCCTGGACCTACATTGTAGAAGGAAACAGCTAGCTCACTAGATTAAGGATGAACTCATATTATGTACCACTAGCTGTAAAGTTACTTAAGTCTGGACCAATTTTCAGATATATCGTTAACTAGCGGCCGCCCGCGACTTCGTACACGTAAAAACATAGAAGAAAGAAAGAAAGAAAAAATGTTTATTCAGTATCATCGACAATACACTTACAATACTTATTATTATTTAATGAGAAGGTAATTACAATGATACTGAAAAGGTATCCACTCAGCATGGTGTCGTAGCATCTCAGTAGATAATGCCACGACGCTGGTCTTCCGTGGACACCCAAACAGGGAGAGCACTACTGAGCACAACAATTGCTTATGAATCATGGATGCATTTATACTAAGAATACATAATAATATAAATGCCTCATAAATACGTTACATATTGTACACCTTATATTTAACTCTTTACATAATTATAAGAAAGTTAGCACACAGTTACCATAACAACCATAGCAATACATGTTACTGATGAAACGTGGAACTTGAGGTGAGTGCATTTTAATTTGCATTAATTTCAGTTTGCTGTCCTATAAGTCTTTTTGCAAATTTAAAAGGAACCCTTTGTATTTATATTTAAAAGAAAACAATGAGAAACATTTTTTAAGGGGTGGAGGGATGTTGTTCCAACATTTCGTGGCTGAGTATCGAAAACTTCCACGAAATGCAGCTGTACTGTGGCTAGGACAACATAGAAGAGAAGCAGTTCTGATACGATTAGAAAATAACAATTTGTCATATAAATATGAGGGCGATTTATTTTGAATTACACCAAATAAAAGACATGCATAATGCAGTGAACGTCGAGATTGCATATTAATTAAATTATTGTGATTTAGAAACGGAGTAATATGAGATCTGGGAGGAATGGTAAAACAAAATCGTGCACACGAATTTTGAACTCTCTGTATTAACTTTTTGGTATAACCAAAGAGGCACTCGCCCATAACAGTATCAGCATAATTCAGTTTTGATAATATAAGCGCTTCGCAAAGCTTAATTCTTATATTAACATCCAAGAACATTCTAATCTTATATAGCACGCTAAGCCTGTAGTAACAATTTCTTACTATTTCCAAGACATGGTTATGAAACCGTAGCCTATTATCCATGAGAACTCCTAAGTTGCGGGCTTCAGTTACTTTCTCGACATCTGTGTCTCCTATCTTAATTGCAGGATTTAACTTTTCTATGCTGCTAATCTGAGTCGCAGAACCCAGCACGAGANGAGGAATGGTAAAACAAAATCGTGCACACAAGGACTTTTATACAAACTTCCAATCTCCGTTTTACCCTTTTAGGAGTTGATTTTTGCAAAATTCCGCCTTAGTGAGCACCTACGTTCTAAAAGGAACCCCCATGCAAAATTTGAGACACCTAGCATTTGCAGTTTCTGAGATTTCGTGATGAGTGAGTCAGTCAGTTATATCATTTAAGTATGTATTCATTCAAAATATGTAAGTACTTACTAAATAGTGTGATCTTTTGATGTTGAATTAAGTAAATGATGTAGAGAGAGTAGAGAAAAGATAACATCTTTCAAATTAAGAATTTAATTATGAAATTATTTATTAACTCAATGTTTTTTCTAGAATTCCATATCTGTGGTATGGCTGATATTGCTCTTGTGCTGTAAATGCACTAGTATAACTCAGGAAAACTACTAAATGGGCTCTCCGGTGCGGTAATTGGATAAAACTCAAGCCATTGCTAACAAATTGTTGTTAGAACTGGAATGGTTATGAACTTAGTTTCCCGGGATTGGTATAGTAACCATATTATGAGAATATTTATAGTATTTAGCTACCTTCATGTAAGCAGAGCTTTTACTTTATATTTTGTGAGAACACAAAGACTGACATAGATTAGCAGATGTTTAGCAAGTACCTTACGTTGGATTATAAAATATCACAAAAGGTGACTGAGTTTCTTCCGCCACTTCTTCTCAACACCAGCCCATATGTTGTCCTGAAGTGGTGGTAGGGCAAGCTATATTTCAGACATGTAAAGCTCCCTGGAAAGGGTGTATGATACTGAATAAAAGATTTGATTTGATTTCAATACAATTAACAAAATATTACCTAATATCTAAGCACAATAATTGTCAATTATTGACAGTACGAAATCACCTAACAAATACGAGTATCATCTCGTTGGCAACAACCAACGTCACAACTAGACAAACATCTGAAAGAGGGTCCTTACAAATTTGCTTCAAAACTTCATCCTCTCTCGACCCTTGTAACATGTTTCATAAAAGCCACAAAACATCTAAAGCCGATGTTGTAAATTCGCTCATATTTTCATGACTTCGGGGATTAAGTAAGTAGGCATTTCCGAAAGAAAAACTTGGGAATGTAATGTTTTTCTCGCTAACAGAAAATAATAATGATTCAGAGAAATATTACTACAGGCTTGTTTCAGCCTGAGGCATGGTGGTAAATCTAGTAAACCATGCCACGAACATTGGCAAAATGTTGCTTTATTTCGCTTTACTTTAGCCTACCAAAATAGGCATGTTGACACCACCCAATCAATTGACATACTTTTTAAAACTGTCAAAACGAAACTCTCCCATAGATTTTGTATGCAAGCAAGTGACGTCACTATTTTGTCAACTCAATCAAACTACTTTTCAACCGACTTCAAAAAAGGAGGAGGTTCTCAATTCGACCCGTATATTTTTTTTTTCAACTACAATGCGACCAAAAATCGTAATTTACAGGTAATTTAAAATTAATTAAGTTTTTAAGACCAGAATGAAGGGTCTTTTTAAAAAAGTTGTGATTTCGAATTATAGGGGTATGGTGTCAAACTGTTGCTTAAGTGAAGCAGCAAATCGAACGCACAGCGTTGAATAGAGCTCTGTGACTGGTTCGTGTGTCACCCTGTGCGTCCACGCGCACTGGGAGACCTCATAGTAATGTTTGTGAATACGGGGGGTAATGTATAAGGAAGGAGGGACTTCTAATGATAATGACACTCAAACAAAAGAATATCACTGTAGATAATGGATGGTCCGCTCGTCAATATACTTTAGTAGTTTACTGTTATGTACAGCGAAATGCGACCTCCCAAATCAATATTATTCCTTTCAGGTCACTCACACAGAGGTTCCATCTCTACACATCTCTCTATCTATCGTTTACATTCGTTTATCTGGACAGTGGACACAGAGCACCGGCAGGCGATACGAGATTTCCAGTTCTTGATTCGAAAAATAAAAAATAAAACAAACAGTGAAGCCATGATAGCAGTGCCAGTTTCCGCGGCAAGGCGCTACCTGCACGAAATTATCCAATTTCCGGTAGCGCACCGTCCGGCAATTTTCCGGTGGCCGGCCGTCCGGATCGGACACATTCCGGTTCGTTATAACGAAGACAATCTCGTTATCCAATGATTCGAACACCGGATTTTATGACTAAATATTTCGTAAAGGATACTAAAAAGCAATATTTATTTTTACTCCTGTTTTTATTTACGATTTATTATAAAATATTGAAATGCCAATCAGCGAAAACCATACTCTTTGGTAGTATCCAATACGTTACTAACAAGATAGACAAAAAGAGGAGATTCATTATACTTAACCTTTAACTACTGACGTGGGGGCCTCTCAGGCCTTGCACAAGTCAAATTGTTGAATTTCTCTTCTCCCACGTGCACGACACCCCCGAATCTTTTAGTACCTTCGAGTTCCATTGCGCCGAGGCTGTCAAAAACGGTGCACGTGATTGCACGCGCAATTTCAGTAGGTAAATTAATTTTAAAGTTTCTTGTGGGCCTCTCAGGCCCCCACCTCAGTATTGGCGTAACTTTTTTTCTTTATAGGTTTCATTTAGTTGTCGTCTTTTCTTGAAATAATTTGAAAAAATCTATAATATGGAGCCCACAGTACGTCGTCCGAGAGAAAGCGGTATCTCGGAAGTAAAAATAACCAGCATTTAACGAAAAATAGAAGAACAGTAGTTTTTGGCACGTATGCTAGGAAATGATAAGCCTGTACCTGTCTATCAAGATTTAAACGATGAAACCACGTGCCATACATGTATTTTAAAGATTGAAATGAAATTTACATTTTAAAAACATGTTTGGCTTCCTTCACTGAGCAAAGCAAGTTTATCCAGACTGTGTTTAATTCCCACTATTTGATGTGTGTAATTTTTTTCCCCCTATTTCATATTAGGATTACTGATATATCATTAGCTAAAAAGACTATTGAAAATTAAGATTCTAAGTTGATTTGATAACTTTATGAATATTTTTCATGATAACTTTGTGAATCATGATTTCATGAGATTTTTGCCAAAAATGCTACATGTTTTCTAAATATTGAAATAATACGTACTTATTAACAAATAATTTGCATAAAAACCCTAAAAAGATTATATATTTTTAAATATAGCACACATATGTACGGGCCTCTCAGGCCCCCACGTCAGTGTTTACGTGAAATTAAATCCACCTCAGTAGCTAAAGGTTAAGTACCTACATAGTAAGGTGCCGTGCCGTGTAACGTAATTTACTAGAGAATACGTTGTTTTGGCTTTATTCGTCCCTCTCATTCAAGTTGTATTTGCTGAGTCTGTAGAATAGACCTTGTGGGGTATGTATTCCACACACGTGCGCACAATTTACGGGCGTCGGGCAATTCCACTATAAGTAATCGGTTCCACAGTCAAATGGGCTATGCGGTTTTATTATAGCCCTAATGGATTTGAGATCAGAAGAACATAATTATTAATTTAGGTAACCTGCTCAGTATTTTAGAACAGACACAAAGAGAATATGCTTTAACTAAGTATTTATTTAAATAGTATGTCATCGATATAAAACTCATTTATTTCTGTAAGTAGGCTTTAAAAAAGCACTTTTACACGTCCCAGTATTAACCCTACCACTGCTTCAGGACAATAAATGGGCCAGTGCTCAGAAGAAGCAGCGCAAGAAACTCGGAAACTATTATTAAATAAAAATAATTAACATAATTAAATTTTAATTTATTTGGTTAGTTACTTTAATGCGTCTCGTACCATTTATGGACAAGTCTCTAACAAAACTTTTTGATACCAATCAATTTAACAAAATCCGACGGGAATACGAGACTATTTCCAAACGCTTTCGATCTCGATCCGCAACTATTCTAACTAGTCAACAATTAAGGTTGACTGTCAATTGCCAGTTATGAAAACCATTTCCGTCCACTCGCAATCATCGATTGATTGGCCTGTCGCTCACCGTAGTTAACAGAGTTAGCGCCGGACAGCCGATTAGCCAACTAGCGTAGTAGTGTGGCACGATTATTCAGCTTTGTCGTGATTCGTGAGCTATGAGCTTACCTACTTTGGCTACTTTTACAGGTTTCGCCCGCCATTTCAGCTTTAAAATGACGTAATTCATGTGCGATAAGCTTAACTCGTTTATTGGCTGCTATTTCAGCTATAAAATGTCGTTTCGTACGCTGTGGGTTGTGGGCTTACTTTTACTGCTACTTGCGGTTATTTTAATTTAATGTTAGTTGTAACGTAAAACTTAGTTTGCACTATAAATAAATAACATACGCCGAAATCTAATTATGTAATTACCAGTTTAACGGGATTACCTATTTGTCGTTCTCATCATTACTTTCAGTTTCTGAACCCCGCGTGAGCAGGGCTTTTCAAAAATAGAGTTAGACTCATTTGAGTGTTCCCCTCCACGGAAATCTTTAGTAAAAGGCGAAAGATTTATACGTATTGAAGGGAAACCAGAGTGGCGATGTTGGCGGTCGCCGGACTACTTAAGTTCTGGAAAAAATCAAATGATACCGCGAGTCAACTCAGCACAGCTCTATCTAGCGGCGCTGATGAGAAACACGACATGTGACTGCTTGTGGTTGTGCTTGTAATAGCAATCACGTAATGTAGACTGAACATTGTAGAGACCGCTTCGCTCTATGTTTTTGTTGACTTTTATTTTAATTTAAAAGCTTAATTTTAAAAGTAGGTAAAAAAACATGTTTGAGAATAAGGTTCCATAATTATATTTTTTTAATTTAGTTGCCTATTTAGATGGGTAACATTCAGTTGACACCTCCATTTTATAGAGCAAGCATTATTCCAATCGATAAAGAATGGCAGTGAATCGGTAAAGTTAATAATTGGCTTGTGCAATGGCCCATATGGACGACCTGTAATCGCCGTATTTGATGAAGCCAGGATATTTTAAAACAAACTCAATTACCGCCAAACTGAACTAATTGGCAACTCGTGTCGGTTCTGCTGTATTGAAAAATATTTAAACACCAGATTGGTATGGGAATTGGGAACACAAACATGTTAATTCGCATCATAAAACTCAATTTATTAATCAGTTTATCTTACAGATAATTATTGTGAAGTCGAATTTTGAAAAAAAAACGCATTATGCGTGAGTGTCTGGAAAAGATCGCTTCCTCCTAGCGATAACAGTGCTGTTTCACTCTGGCTTTTCTTTTACTTACTTAAGTGTCAGTCGGTGTAATAATAGTGTAACATTATAGTATTAAATTCTATCTCTCTATCTTTATTTTGCATATCAATCGAGTGCATATCTAGGTAGGCTACTTATCTAAGATACTTTTCAATGTTTACTTATTTTAGGTTTTAATTATTAAAATCAGTGGCAGTAGTAAGTAATTAAGTGTGTCCTTGTAAGTAATAACCTGCCTATCTACAAAATAAAACTAATTCCAGTACTTACTATCTAAATGCCTGTTTCAGGAGCACTCGGACGGGTCGACCACGCCGCGAAACGACAAATCCGGAGGCCACTCGCCAGCCGCTAATGAAGGTAGTTACATAATCTATCCGGATTAAAGGTTTTCAGATACTAACAAGGGAAGTGATCCCTGTGTCAATGGTATGACTTTTAGATAGTGCATAAAGCACAAAGTACCTAAGTAGGTTCCTGCGGTCAAACAGTAGAATGTGCATCTGCTATTAGTTTTTATTATTGTTTACTACACTCGCGAGCAAAACTATGGAATCACTTACATGAAGTTGTTTCCACGCGAACTTGTGTACTAACGAATTTGTTAGTAACAAAAAAAGTGGCACCATTTTAAAGATTAAACTTTTATCTTTAAATTGATACCAAATTCATTTAAATCACACCAGTATTTAAAAAGATATCCCGGCTGATGTGAAGAAGTTTTATCCACAACGAGGAAGCTCTTGGCCTGTATCTCACCTGATGGTAAGTGACGATCAGGCCGAAGGTGGAAGCGAGCTTCACCCGGAATCCTCAACCACGGAGGAACGAAAGTAACGTAACAAGGAAGTAACGAAAAAGACATGTATGAACTGTTTGATACGTCGCGAGGTGCGGCCTATTTACCCCCTATAAAAGCACGCGTTTTTAGATTTTTGCTTTCACACGTTGATTCGTACATATCTCCGCTTCTTTTGACACTTTACCTGGGATTCTACACCTTCAGAAGCAGCACAAATCGTTGCACTATTGCAAGAAAGGCTCAGCCAGCGGGCTGTCGCACGTCAGCGCCACATAAGCCAGTCCTGGGTTTCGAAAGTTTCAAGACGCTTTCGGGATACTAGTGGCTTTATCCCGACACCAAGTTCTGAACAGCGCCGTTGCTCGACTTAACATCGAGATGTGTACGAGCAAATTGAAAGCGTGCTTATCGGTGACCTGCCGTCAGTTTTGAGCCTGTGGCAGGCCTTTTTGGAGTTAAATTCTATTGTTTATGTCTTAGACAAACTGTCTACTCGCTAACAGCTATCCTACGAACATTTCTGAGCTCTTACTGGACGTCGATTCCAGTCAAATGACGATTTCATAGAGAGGTTGACATGAAAAAACGGTCTTCCCTTTGCGATGTGCGCCGGCGCTGTTCAGAACTTGGTCTCGGGATAAAGCCACCAGTCTCCCGAAAGCGTCTTAAAACTTTCGAAACCCAGGACTGGCTTATGTGGCGCTGACGTGCGACAGCCCGCTGGCTGAGCCCTTCTTGCAATAGTGCAACGAATAGTGCTGCTTCTGAAGGTGTAGAATCCCAGGTAAATTGTCAAAAGAAGCGAAGATGTGTATGAATCAACGTGTGAAAGCTAAAATCCGAAAACGCGTGCTTTTATAGGGGGTAAATAGGCCGCAACTCGCGACGTATCAAACAGTTCATACATGTCTTTTTCGTTACTTCTTCACATCAGCCGGGATATCTTTTTAAATACTGGTGTGATTTAAATAAATTTGGTATCAATTTAAAGATAAAAGTTTAATCTTTAAAATGGTGCCACTTTTTTTGTTCCTAACAAATTTGTTAGTACACAAGATCGCGTGGAAACAACTTCATGTAAGTGATTCCATACTTTTGCTCGCAAGTGTATATACCTATCTCTGTTCTTTTATTACTAAAAGTTGAAAAAAAGAACACTCGGTGCAGATGTACATACCTAGCTAATAGTAGGGTAAAAAAAATACTTGTCAACACTACATATATTGTGTTCCTTCTTTACTCCCTTTTAGCCTAAATAGTCCAGTAGAATTAGCTTTTAAATCGGAAATAATTCCTACAAAAGATTTTATTCTTTTAATGGCTTCATTGGTTGCCCATTAAGACTCTCCTAAGTTTTCGACTTCGACGGAGTTGTGCTTAAGTGGTGGGGACCCCCGAAAGGGGCATTTTTTCGGTTTTCCGGTTACACCGCGTAAAGGACTTACCCTATCAAAAAGTGGTCTTCATGACGGTTGAAGGGCACTTAATCCTGCATTGAATAAGACCAAATTCATATGTTTTGGACAAACCGTTCTCGCGCTAAAGTTCGGCAAAGTAGAAAATATACGTATAATTAATGACCCTCTCCACGTCCAATGATTTGTTACCCACAGGCTTCCAAGCCTTGTAAAGGGTCGCCTTAACCAGTGTAACCCTAACAAGGCTCACGAGTTGGATTCGCTTATCCTTGTTCGTCCCAGCCGTTCCTTAATTGCGGTTGCTGCACCTCTTCCTGGCACTCTCCTGAACGACTCTGTGTTACCTACTGTGGCTGCCCCTCTTCCTTGTATCCTCCTGCATGACTACGTTGCCTAGCCGTATGCCTGGTCTAAGGTTCGACGCCAAAAATCAACAACAACAAGTTCATATTAAAACGCTGAAGAGTTTTTTGTTTGTTTGTTTGAACGCGCTAATCTTAAGAATCACTAGTTTGATTGAAATCATTATTTTTGTGTTGAATAGCTCATACATTGAGGAAGGCTATAGGATATATACAATCACTCTACGACTAATAGAGGCGAAGCAGTAAAGAAAAATGTTGCAAGCACGGGAAATAGTATTTAAACTATTTTCACTCGTACGAAGTTGATTTTGTGGCGTCGAACCTTGGACCAGGCATATGGCTAAGCAATGAAATCGTACAGGAGGGTACAAGGAAGAGGGGCAGCCACATTAGGTAACACAGAGTCGTTCAGGAGAGTGCCAGGAAGAGGTGCAGCAACCGCAGTTAAGGAACGGCTGGGACGAACAAGGATAAGCGAATCAAACTCGTGAGCCTTGTTAGGGTTACACTGGTTAAGGCGACCCTTTACAAGGCTTGGAAGCATGTGGGTAACAAGCCATTGGACGTGGAGAGGGTCATTAATTATACGTATATTTTCTACTTTGCCGAACTTTAGCGCGAGAACGGTTTGTCCAAAACATATGAATTTGGTCTTATTCAATGCAGGATTAAGTGCCCTTTAACCGTCATGAAGACCACTTTTCGATAGGGTAAGTCCTTTACGCGGTATAACCGGAAAACCGAAAAAACGCCCCTTTCGGGGGCCCCCACCACTTAAGCACAACTCCGTCGAAGTCGAAAACTTAGGAGAGTCTTAATGGGCAACCAATGAAGCCATTAAAGCAAAAAAATCTTTTGTAGGAATTATTTCCGATTTAATCAATTTTTATGTTTTATTCTACTGGCCTAAAAAGTTAATGGTATTAATGTTCTGTTCGCTCTGCTGCCTCTGATTTATTTGTTAGTCATTGTAGAGGAGAGAGAAATATATCCAAAAATATAACTAATTGGGGGCGGGCTTCGTCGGCGAAAAATAATTGGAATGGTCAATCGAAATTGGATTGGAATATTAGGTATTCATGGAAGGCTTTTTTAACTATTGTTTTTTGAAATCACATCAATTCTGTAACCATTTAATTTAGTAGATCCTTTCAGTTTTTTACCAGTTATTATGAGTACATGCGATCTCGTAATCTAAGCAGGCTGCTTTTATTGTGAGGATGGATGGTTTTACTTTTTCATGCAAAATCTGCTGAACGGATTTTGATGAAACTTTACTGACATTTAGAGGAAAGTTTAATAATTGTGATAATGTAAATCTGTCAACCTAGGTAACCAACTAAAATAAATATGGTGAACGTTTCCAGGGGAAGAGGCGGTGAGCGAGAGGTGATGGTCGGCCAGCACGCTCCTCGACCGCCTGGCGCAGCGCGGCTTCGCGGCCGACACCCGGCTGGCCCTGCCGCCGACAGGTAGGGCCCACCAATATGCTAACTACGTGTCCCACCGCTGCAAATCCTGAGTAGGTACCTACTTGCCAGGATCTACCCTGGACAGATCCTTCCAACCTAATGAAGGTCAAGTTTGTCCCGGTGCAAAGTTAAACTGTCTTTGGACCCGAAACGAAATTGATTGGAACTTGTAAGTAGCATAATGGGGATTTCTCAAAATGTTGGAATATCTCTCTCTATTATGTGGAGTTCTCTCCCGTGCAAAGCGGTTGACAGATGACAAGTTCCACGTCGGTACCAGCCTATAGTAAGTAGTGTAGCCCAGTATACCCTAAACTCGGCAGAGTACCTACTTATCGTTTCAGAAAATTATGCAAACAGATTCTCCAGTTATCTTGCAATCAAGTTAAATATCTCATAATCTTAGGTTGCGCGCGCTACCGCGAGCTGTGCTACCGGGCCGCGCACGCGCACACGACGGACGAGCCGCCGGCGCGCGCGTGCGAATGCGTCAACTGCTCTGCACGTCGCGCCTCCTCCTCGGAGCCCTGAGCCGCGCCCGCTGGCGGCCTCACCGCCGCCCTGGCGAGGCCCATCCCTTCCTTCATCCTGCCTTCGTGGATGAGTCGGAAATTACCATAAGTTCTGATGATTCACTTTCAGATAATTTACTATAGTCTTTTTCGGTAGCGCATTTTCTTACATAACTTTTCAATTCCTATCATTGGAGGTCCGAAAATATTTCTCATACAATTTGATATCATAATGATCATTCTTCATAAAAAATTTAAGACCTACATATTTAAAATCATAATCATTGATATTCATAATATCACTAATCATACACTTCGTTTTTACTAATATTTGTTTTCATATATTTTTCTATACTAATGATCGAAACTCATAATCATTCGAATAAATAACTATAATATTCATAAATGTGATGTATCCTAATATTTGTTTTCATAAATTTATTACTCATAAGTGTATTTATCCATATTATTGAAAATCATGATGTCAATATTCGTATTAAATCGTATTTTAACATTAAATTAATTTGAAATGGTCCAAAACAGGCAATATTTTGTGCCACAAAACTAACGTGACAGAAACGAATCGCTGCAAAACCGACTCCACGTAGTCTTGTCTGCCCTACCCCTAGAGTGTAATTTAAAAGCCGGAGGCGCGGAGGGAGGGCAGCCCTCGCCCGCTGTAACGAGGCTCAGGCGCCCGGGTGAGCTGGAGCGGCTGAGGCTGGTCGCCGAGGCGCCGAAGGCGCCGATGGCGATCCAAAAAGCCGAAGCTGCGGAAGCAAGCGTGGGTGCCTGAGCCTCGTTACGCAAGGGCGGAAGGGCTGCACATCCCGCAGCGCCGGAGACGAGGAGATACCAATGCATGCTGTAAGTCTTCATTTAACCATTTTTTGTAATACGTGTGGTACGAACATTTAGTAAGCTTTTATATTTGCTGTAACAAATTTTATCAAAAAAATACTTGTTTCTGATCTCATTTTGTCTAATATTTCGTTACGTTTTTTGCGAATTTCGTTACGTTACGAAAAAGTACAACATAATGCTGAGTGTATACTGTTATTACCTGACTAAGCATAGTAATATTCACTACTTAATTAATTTCAAAAAATATAGAGCGTTAATAACAAAAGGATTGGATACTATCTGCTTTACAGAAGTGCCACCAGCAAAAAATTATCAAATCATTTAGATTACGTTTTTATGTGATTACATCTTTTGTTTTTTTAGGAATGCCGCCAAAAACCAATGCCGAAAGGCAAAAAGCTTACAGAGAACGACTCAAAATGGATAAACATGATGGAACAAAAATAATTTTATTAAAATAGTATGAATGATTACTCCCTTATTTTATTTCTAACCCCTTAATATTACCCCGTATTTGGGTGCATACTTACAAATATTTCGAATTGAATAAATAAAGAGCATTCACAATATGTATTTCGCCAATGTATAACAAGCCTTATGGCCTTACTATTTCGTTACTACCGTTTCGTTACGTACACTTTTTTTGAGAAATACTCATATGCAGAATATTTTTGAAAAAATATTTGTATTTTATTAGCAATATAATAAAAAAAAATAACTACTTGTCTTGAAATATATAGTAAAATCTGAGTCTATTGATTATATTTTCATTAAATACGATGTAAAAAGATTTTTTATTTAATGTACGCAATGTGTGAAACGGAATAGATTTAGTGCTGGGTATTTCTTGTACAATAAAATCGATTATTTTCGCGGTTCATTAATCGATTGCAGTGAATACTTAGTTATTAAAAACATCACAAAAATCAACTATATTTTTCGATTATTGACTTTAATAAACGCATTGAAAATAAATTAATAGTTTTTAATTTAAAGAAACAGAACCAGTACTTTTTAGGAATCGTTTTTTTGAACACGAACCATGAAGTTTGAATATTATCAATAAAAAAATTGTTACAATAATATTTGTAATTGAAAAAAAAACATGTTTTTTGTTAAATAACACCTATACAAAATATTTCTTTAAAAGTAGGTTTTACTAACTCTTCCAAAAAAATCGATAGAGAAATCGCTATGGTTTAGTTATGTGACATCTCTAAATCTTTCAAACTCGAAACGTCATACGGATCATCTTAGGTGAAAAAGACTATAAGTCCGATTTTCCTGTGACCCCGTGACCGCGTCACCACGCCCTAGTAAGACCCATCCCCGCGCTGCCTTCATGGATGACTCGGAATCATAACTTTAACCACAAGTTCTGATGATTTACTTTTAGATTATAAGCCCGATTTCCCCGTGCCCCCGCTAGTGGCGTCACCACTAAATGTCTTCCCTAAGCCCAAAGAGTGTCCCTCTTTCCGCTACCCTGAGTCGCCCATCCGTCTGGCCAGTGTGGGATACACTCCCCAACCAGACTCTCCATTTGTCTCGTGTGATGTCACGTAACCTGATGATTCTTTGCTAGGAAATGTCGTTACCCTTGAACTCGTTAACTTTTTAGATGGTTCTCTTCCTAACCCCAATCAGCCACGCCCGTCAGCGGATTTACCGAGGTTCTAGCGACCAAAACTTGTTTCTCACTTTCAGATGTCACTAGCTCCGGGAGTCAGATTTTAAAAAAAAATCTTAAAACCCAGTCAGATCTCCATAACAAATTGTTTGTAAATGAGAACAGGACAGAACCCTAACCACTTCCGTGTCTTCAAAGCATACCTACAACTTTCCTAAGTACTCGTAAACCTGGGACTTCCGGGAAGTCCTTTCGACAACTGTACATACTGCTAAAGCTTAGCCCGCGCTTCCTCATGAATCCACAGAAAACAGCATTTTTGTAGACTTTGTAAAGACCTAATTATGCTGCCTTAACCTGAAGAAATAGTCCAGTCATTTAAGCTTAAATTAGGTAAGAATCTCGGAATTAGAGATACCCAGCTGTAAGTCTGTAAATACTTGTATATTGACACCCTAAAAGTTGTCTCAAAACCTACATATGGTAGGGTGTAAGCAACTATTAAATTTTAAAGATAGATCGCCCGGAGTNAAAAACTTGCAGTTTATCAGTGCAGTTGCCCCAGAAAATAATTCCGTATCTTAAAATAGATGAGACATATCCGTGGTAAGCTGTTAGTACCGTTTCTAGATTTGCTATTCTGGATAGTGTTTTTATAGCCTGACCAGGAACATAAAAACCCTGGCATAGAGGCGCGTCAATTGCATTTGATAGTGCAACACTGAGTACAGTCGTACCTGTGTTAAATTAATAGGCTAACTTTATGTATCAGGATTCAGGATTACGGGCTAATTTGATATTTTCATGAATTAACGAAATAATATTATTAGAGGTAACCTGGTTTAAATAAATTAAATGAAAACATCAATCGAGCTAGTAGGATTTATTTTATTATTCATCAATAATCAAATACAGAACTTGAATATTCAACTGCAATGTCTGCTCATGAACGCTTCAAACTCGGTACTTCTTTCCCAATTCCATAAAATTCAACACTTAGAAAGTGACAAAAAACTTTAAAATAGGTAGTTGAAACAAACCACAGCTAATTTTCATAGTGGACTGTAGGTACTATACGATAAACATGTCAGTCAATTTGACACCCTTGTCGGAAAAATTATTCAATGAAAATATTGTCCGAATCCTTAGTATTTCTCTTCGACAAATATTTTAACACATTGTGAACCACTTTTCTTTCACGACTATAAAAAGATTTTAGCAATTTAATTCACAAAATCAATTGCGCACATTTAAAATAAAGTTTGTTTACACTTTGACAGCAGTAGACTGACATGCAAGGTGACATGTCAATGAAGTTTTCAGTTACTGTTGCCATTAAAAGAAATTAGTACCATTAGTTTTCCGCAACATGGCGAGGGTTTTTATGTTCCTGGTCAGGCTATAATGCATATACAAACTTGTTGATGCGTGTGCACAGGTCGTTAATATGTGTCGTCCATCTTGTTTGATAATCTATGTGTATACCTAAGAACTTTGTAGAGTCAACTGATTCTACAATTTGGTTATTGCACCGTATAGTCAAGTTAGGTGTTTGGGTATATTGTCGTTAAGAAGCCCTTTTAGGTAATATTTTATTTTCAGTAAATTCCGTCAAACTGCAAATTTGCACAGAGGTTAAGGTTGCATAGAAACATAATTTATTACAAAACAATCCAAAATTTTACAAATTTTACATTTAGTTATGGAGTAGTGTCGATGGGAATGAAGATGTATGTTACCCACGACACTACTGGCTTGGTAGTGCAGAAGGGAAAAAATATTCCCCACGACACTACTGGTAGTGTGGTTTGGTAGTGCGGTGGGTAATAAGGGGAAATTGTGTAATCGTTATCATTTGACAGTTCATAACGTTACGATTATTCTGTCAAACGGTTTAACTGACTTTATCATACGTTATGAACTGTCAAATGATTACGATTGCTTTACACAATTCCACCTCAGATTCTCCAGTTATCTTGCAATCCAAATTCAGAAGCCAGTGTAGCCCAGTATACCCTAAACTCGGCAGAGTACCTACTTATCGTTTCAGAAAATTATGCAAACAGATTCTCCAGTTATCTTGCAATCAAGTTAAATATCTCATAACCTTTGCAGGCTGCGCGCGCTACCGCGAGCTGTGCTACAGGGCCGCGCACGCGCACACGACGGACGAGCCGCCGGCGCGCGCGTGCGAATGTGCCAACTGCTCTGCACGTCGCGCCTCCTCCTCGGAGCCCTGAGCCGCGCCCGCTGGCGGCCTCACCGCCGCCCTGGCGAGGCCCATCCCTGCCCTGCCTTCGTGGATGACTCGGAAATTACCATAACTTGATCCATATGTTTTGATAAGGGATTCACACCACGCCCTAGTGAGACGCATCCCTGCCCTACCTTCGTGGATGACTCGGAAATAACCATAAGTTTTGATAAGGGATTCCCACCACGCCCTAGTGGGACCCATCCCTGCCCTGCCTTCGTGGATGACTCGGAAATTACCATAACTTTAACCATACGTTTTGATAAGGGATTCACACCACGCCCTAGTGAGACGCATCCCTGCCCTGCCTTCGTGGATGACTCGGAAATTACCATAAGTTCTGATAATTCACTTTCAG